TTTTGTTCCATGGGCCGGCCAACCTACTACTCCGTTTCATGCCGATCTTTTCTACCAATTAATGCCTGAAAGCAACCCACTCTGCCAGGAAGCCACCTAACCAAAGGCATCAAGCTTTCTCCTCCGTGGGCTAGTAAAGCTGTCGCTGTCTCATGCTGGTTCTCTCGACTCTACTCCTGCCGTCTCTCATGCCGGTCTCTGCACTCTGCTCCTGCCGTCTCTCATGCCAGTCTCTTGCTCTGCTCCTGCTGTCTGTCATGCCATATGCTGGGGTCTCTCTGCCAGGGTCTCGGGTCAAGGATGCACTGCAGTCCTGTTTCCACATTTTAGGTATCTGTCAGAGCAGCACCCCACTCTCTTGGTACCAAATGTGTTAGACTGGGTTCTCTAGAGAAACAAAACCAGTAAAGCTTATATAGAAAGGGAAAGTGAAATTTATCTTAGGAAAATGGCTCACATACTTATAGAAGTTGGCAAGTCCAAAGTTCTTGGATCAAACGTCAAGCTGGAGGCTTTTCCCAACTTTTATAGCTGCAGGGCTGAGCAGCTCAAGGTTGGCAGGCAGTATACTGGCTGTTGACTCCAACGAATGATGAATCCAAGATCTCCAGGCCGAACGGTGGATTGTTTGCTCAGAGACAGTTCTAGGCAGCACAAAAGAATCCCGATCCCCAGAAGAATGTCTCTTTTCCCAGGATGTCCATAGATATACTGGAAGCAGTCCATACCTCTAGGGAAACTCGCTTTCAACCAACTGGCTCCTCACAACATATTCCTCTGATCCCATCATGGGAATAACCACATCACAACTGCTTAAACCACACAAAATTGTGGCCTAGCCAAGTTGACACACAAACATAACTACCACAGTAATTTTCTGGAAAGTTCACTCTCTCTCAGGTATACAGAATTCTGATGTTGGGATTGGTTAGTGGTCACTCTACTAGGCTCAAAAAGAGCCATCCTAGAGGCAAAAGAAGTCTCTCTGACTGCTGGCTAAGGAAGACATGCTGCTGAGAGAAATGTGCTCCTGAGAGACATGTGACACACACTGCTGAGAGAGAAACATGAGAGACACACACTAGTGAGAGAGTGATGGGCTACTGAGACTGCTGGCTGCTGAGTGAGATGGCCGGCTGCAAGAGACTGAGTGCATTTCTGAACTTGAGTTGTAGCCTGTTGTTTCCCTAACAAACCCCATAATCTCTGAGTTCTGTGTGGCCACTGTAGCCAATTATTGAACCCGGCAGAGAGGTAGTGGGTGCTGTGGAAAGAACAGTTGGTGTCAGGATTGGTGAAAAGACTAGAGGGAGGCAACACATCTGGCCTCACAGGAATAGGTCTTGAGCTGCTAATGGTGATTCTGTCTTCCTCTTTTGGGGTTAGAGGAGGTCAGAAGATGCATTCTCCTTTCCCCTTTGTCAGGGTAGAAGCAAGGCCCAAAATGGTAACTGAAGGCAGAAGCTGGAAAGACTATTAAGACCTGAAAGTGTGGTGCCAAGAGTTTGGTTACGAAATTGGAGGCCAAGATACAGAACAACCAAGGCTTCCAGATGAACACTTTCACAGCCTGCAGCCCTGAAAGTCAGGGTCACTGGGTCAGGGAGGATCAGACATCTTGGTCCCAAACTAAGGTCATTTGTAAAGCGAAGTTGAGATGAACTGTTCAAGGCCAGGAAGATAATACAAGAGCTGAAAGAATACACGTGCCTCACACCAAGAGACACAAGCAGGGTAGCAGGAACCAGAGGCCTTCAGAGAAAATAGCTGGAGAAGGACCTCACATTCCTGCTCTGAATACCACAGGGTACTTCAGGGTGTTTGATGGGTAACAGAGAACTTTCCATAAAGCAAAAATGAAAAGAAAAAAGGAACCAAGGATCAAGGATATCGGTCCCCATTTGGATGAGTTTTCAAAAATGTAGGTTTGGTTTTTTGTGGTATTTTTTGTTTTGTTTTTGACAACCTCACACAATTTCAAGTGCAAAGAAAGCTATATATAAAAAAGAAGAACTTAGAAATTCTGGATATTTTTCTACATTTAATTTACTGACATTTCATTTTAATACAGACTTTTAAATGATCATATTCTATGAGCATCCCTTAAGAGGTACTTGACCTCCCATAGGTTCCTACCAATTTTTGAAGACAATCCATGAATGTGAAGTATTACCAAAGGATTACTGCTGGATCTGGCAGTTTAAAGAGCAGGTACTGTGGACTGGATTCATTCGCACAGACTGGAAAATATCATTCCCCAAATAGAAGGCTACTATAAGCTATAAGCTAAATGGCACATAACAACAACAACAACATAAGCTAAGAAGTCACTGCCATATTAGCTCTATGCAAACCATTAGCTCAATGGCAATAATTGCTCTGATGCCTTCAGGGAGGACTATTCCTGCTGCAGATTAGAAATCTACATGGTGTAAACCAATGACGTAAAGCACAGAAATATGTATTTTACAACACAGAACTACTGAAATAAACTAGCCATCTGGTTAGTCTCTCAGGAATCAGTCTCATCCCCAGCTAATTCATCTTCTATGCCATGCCCACAGTTATTTTCTATAACTATACAAATGTATGAATTCTAACATATAAAATAAATAATAATTAATAATTTCTATTTTCTGAAATTCAAATCTGATAACATCAATCCTTGCTTAAAATCTTTCAAACCATTTCTTTGGCATGACATACTAAGGGCCCCACATAATCCCACATACCTATAATGGCAAAAACATAAAAGACATATACACACAACTGCTCTTCAGTTATATCCATATACCTGGGTGCCCTTAAACAAAATCTATTCTTTTACTTTTTTACAAATAAAATTTCCACTGCATGGAAAGTGCTTCCAGCCTACCCTACTTCTTTCTACCACGCATAATGAGGAAGCCCCTTGGTTTTCTTCAAGGTTACCCACTTCCTCTAAGGAGACTTCTCTGATTAGCACATCTTCCTCTGTGTTCATTAAGAGCTCTGCAGACATCTAACACATCCCATGGCAGGGTAATTAACTCTGTTTGAGCCACCTTCTTCCCCAGATTATGAGTTTCTTGGAACCAAGGACTAGCCCAGCAGCTAAAAACATAGTGAGCACTAAAAAATACACTGTTGAATCAGCTTTCATTTTATTTCTACATTTCCTCAGTCTCTGATAAAAAAATAGTATTACAGCAATCTATCTGCTGGTACATAATGAGAAAAGAAAGAAGTTACTTAGTACAAAGACATTTTGATTTTCCCAAATTACTCATATCTGGTGGTGGTGTTGTTGTTGTTGTTGTTATGTGCCGTCGAGTCAGACCCGACCCGTAGCGACCCCTCCTTGGGTTTCCGAGGCAGTATCACTATGGAAGTAGATTGCCCCATCTTCCTTCCGAGGAGTGGCTGGTGGGTTTGAACCGCCAGCCTTCTGGTTAGCAGTCAAGTGCCTTAGGCACTATGCTACCAGATATCTGGTGTATGGTTCCAAATTACTCAAATTCATTTTCTGACACTGTCAATGAATGGATGGCTTTGTGACCCTGAGCAAAATATACCTTCTCTGTCCCTCAGTTTCCTCATCTGTGAAACTGAGATAACACAGTGCCTAATCTACGGGGAGGTTAGGGGCTTTAAACAACTTAACATCAACAACAGAAACAGCAACCACACATGGAAAGTGGTCAATAACTACCCTCTGAGGATGGCAATGCCACCCATGGTGCCAATCCTGATGCCAGGAGGCCTTTCCTTAAAGTCTTCAGGCTTATACATGTTCCTTTGCACATGGTATTCCTGCTTCTTGGGATGCTCCTCACCCTGCATTTACCTGGCTTTGTCACACCTGCCCTCACATCACAACTCAGAGGTTCCTGCTTCCCCCAGGGGAAGTATTCTCTGGCTCTCCAAATCTGGGCCATGTGGACCTCCTGTGTGTTACCACTACAATCTTTACATGACACCCTGATGCAATGACGTGAACAAAATGGTTGTGGCCCCAAAACAAACCATTACAACTTTAGTTTTAGTGTTTGTTTATTTAATCCAAGAAATGTATGTAGCAGGTTATCTCACCCCATCCTGCATTCTTTGCAGGAAGGCTCTGGGATAAAACAAGGGATAAGGAAAGGGTCAAAAATGTCTGCTGCATACATTACCTGATGGTAAAAATTTTACATTTGAATTTGACCTGCTTATTGCAGCCCTGTTCTGCCCTTACCAGAAAATTCATCGCATGATTATTACAATTGTTTGTATTTCACACACACAACATTTTTTTTTATTGAAAAGTAAGTGCATTTATTGTAAGTGCATTTTGAGATAATATAACCCTGAGTTATCATATGATATCATCTGTAACTCACTGACTGCTCTAATGTGAGAGTGTTCCTTTTGTTTAAACTATTTTTTCAAAATAGTATTTAACAGATTGTTATTGTTGTTGTTATATGCCATGTTGTTGTTGTTATGTGCCACTGAGTCGTCTACAATTCATAGCAATCCCTCCTTGGGTTTTCGAGGCAGTATCCCTTTGGAAGCAGATTGTCCAACCTTCCTTCTAAGGAGTGGCTCATGGGCTTGAACCCCCAGTCTTCTGGTTAGCAGTCAAGTGCCTTTGGCACTACGCCACCAGAGCTCCCCTATGCCATAGTGCACCCTTAATTTTCCAAACAATTTATTTCTTCTGTTTTTCAGAACCACTGCCACATTTACTAAGGAGCTCTGGTGGCACAGTGCCTAAGGCATCTGACTGCTAACCAGAAGGTTGGCAGTTCGAACCACCAGTCACTCCGCAGAAAGAAGACTGGGAAATGTACTTCTGTAAAGACTTACTGCCTTGGAAACCCCATGCGGGTCGCTGAGTCGGAATCGACTCAATGGTAACAGATTTGGGTTTTTTGGTTTTTACTACATTTACTGAGTTTACTTGAAAAGAAGCCAATCAGCATATTCTAAATAATATGAGAATAAACATTAACTTTTTAATAAAATAAGCACCATACACTTTGAGTCTGGTACACTGTCCTGGCTTCAAATCCCCCAGAAGCTGCAGTATTGTATCCAACAGCACCCGGCTTGAGTTCACCAAGAATTCACGGCCACAGGCTATAGCAGCTACATCTAAAACAGAGAGAAAAGGAAGTGTCAAGATTGCAATTCCATTAGTATCCAGAAAAGTCTGCCCAGTACAGGGTTATTTGTTACTGTTTCCTAACAGACCTAATGAAAACACAGAATAGCAAAGAAGGCATTAAAACATGGTTTTATCACAGACCTGCCGGCCCAGAAAGAACAACCACCACAACATGTTGCTAAACAGTGAGTAACATAAACTGTGATTAGCAAATGGGGCACAGTGTTTTCACTGGAGCATGTCTACACTTGGCAAGAGCAGACTGGACAACTGTGGGCAGTCAGGGTCTAAGAGTAAATTAGGGGGTGGGACCAATGTCATATCTGGAACCAATGTTACTAAAATCTACATTTAATCTAGCTAGTATTTGCTAATGACTTTTAACCATGATAGCGAACTGAAATCATATGAAGGGAGAGTTTGAAAATTAATTTTAAAAAATTCATACACTGCTAATGGGAACATAAAATGACATAGCTTGTTTAGAAAACAGTCTAGCAGTTCCTCCAACAATTGGACAAAGAGTTATCATATGACACAGCAACTCCACTCCCAGGAGAAAATGCCAAGAGAAATGGAAACATGCGTTCATGTAAAACCTTGTACAGGAATGTTTACATCAGCATTATTCACAATACCCAAAAAGTGAAAATGACCCAAATGTCCATCAACTGATGAGTGGATAAATAAAATACAGTATATCTATACAATTGAATATTATTTGGCAATAAAAAGAAATGAAGTTCCAATACATGCTACAACACAGATGAATATTGAAAACATTACATTAAGTGAAAGAAACTAGTGACAAAGTGACACATATTGTATGATTCCATTTATATAAAATGCCCAGAAAAGGCAAATTAGTGATTGCCTAGGCCTGGGAGGCTGAGGGGTAGGTTGTAGGATTGGTGAGGAGGGTGGCAGCTAAGGGTAAGGAAAATGAGCAACTGTGTAAGTTTCTTTTGATGTTAATTCTGTGACCCTGTTTGTTTTGTTTTTGCTTCTTGGCATTTGTCTGGGCTGTGGTAGGTCTCTTATCATCAGTTCACTTTGCCAGGTGTCAAGTTTGGGGAAGGGACCAGAGCAAGGGGTAATCCCATCTGGGAACTGTGTCTTTGTGTACTGTTTACAGAAAACCCCTCACACGGAAACCAATTTCCCCAGGAGGAGGGAATCTCCACTCCCACTGGGAAGTGGTTCCTAGAACTCAGTCTTATTCCCACTGTGAGGTCATGTGTTTCTATGGTGAGAACCCAGGTTATACAAAAGTGGCCTGTGACCTGAGAGCTGCTTGACAGAAGTAAGCCCATCCTCCACCTCTGTAGCATCAAACTGACTTCTGGGAGATGTTCCCATCTTACTTACTATCTGCCATGCCTTTGCCTGCAAGTTTGCCTCCTGCCCAGTGAGATAAGGTCCTCCTGAAGTGCACATGCCCCACTGTGGAGAAATTCAGTCTCACAATAAGGTGTGGGGGTAGTTTCACTTTCCACCAAGCTCCCTGACCTGCTATAACCTGTTGATCCATCATGAATGAAACAGCTCCAGGCAAAAAAGTCCCCATCTGTCCCTAGCTTGTCTACAACACAGTTTTGTGCTTTCAATCTGTTCAGATTTCTACCTTAGCATTAGAGTGCTTGCCCAGGAAAGGAAGATACCCAGTGTCTTTCACTTCTGCCACCCTGTAACTGTTACCCTGGGATCACTGGACACACTCTTTCTAGAAGCTCTAGGTCACACAATTTCTGAAAAATTTGACAGATAAGAGACTTGTTTTGAAAATGAAATTGTCAGATAAAATGTATTGCAGACAGATTATTTTTAGACCTCTCAAAATTCTCCTATACATAATCAAATTATAGCTTAGTTGAATATTAATTTGTCCATACTGTATATGGTTCAAGAAATAACCAAAGAATTAACGATAGTCCAAGAATTCCTGTGGGCAAATGATTCCACGGACACATATAAATAACTGCAACAAAGGCCAAAAGAGTCCATAATGGTCCTCCTCAGTCTTTACCTAAACTTCCTCAATACTTTCTAGAGCAAAAGCCAAAGAAGGCCTTAGGCCAACTGTGACTAGCTAAACAGGAAAAGGACTATCAAGTCCTTGCACCGATTCCTGCCATCACCTAATGTTACCTGTTTTAAAAAACCTAATGGTTGAGGATATGGATTTGTTTAAGATCTGTGAACACGTAACAAGTAAATACTCATTTCCCTACAGTGTATCCTGAATGCTCAGGTTCTCAGTATCCCATTCTGTATAACAGCCTAAATTTACTCTTTCTCCTGGAAAAATCAACAATTTACTGATAGAATTGTGCTCCACGGATTTACTGACGTGCCTTCCTACTTCTCTCAAGCCTTAAAACAAGATCTTAGGTATACATGGACCCCTCGTGGTACTCTGATCCAATATGTGCGTAAGCTCCTTGTTCCGGTTTCCTAGTGCCACTCTGACAAGAAATATACCACAAATGGGATGGCCTTAACAAACAGGAGTTTATTCTTACAATTTGGAGGCTTTAAGTCCAAGTTCAAAGTGCCAGACTCTAGGGGCTGGGTGAAAGCCCCTCAACCTTGGTATTCAGCTCTGCCTCCTGCTCCCGGCCCACTGGAGCTAGCAGCTTTTCTTCACTCAGACAGCTGCTGGCTGCTGAGGCTGAAAAACCCAAGATTGACAAGAAAAAAGGCATAGCCCCTATGTTACCAAACCACACAGCAGGCTATTAATTCAAGTCCATTGTAAGTCCTAAGGTCGGCAAAGCACGGCAGGCTGCTCAACAAAGACACAGCTACATGCAGGGTCCAAACCTGCCATAGGCTGCAGACCATTCCTAAGGCTTCTCCATATATACAGGAAGCAGACCACATCCCAAAGGCAGCTACTCAGCTGCTTGTGGTAGATCCCACCATGGAGCTGATTGCCAGTCTCATCATGGGGAATAACTACCACCAGCTGCCCAGCCACTCAATCAAGCCCAGCCAAATTGACACACAAACATAACCACCACACTCCTCTTATATCCTGCTGATCTGTTAAGATCTAAGAATGACCTTGTTAATCTATCCAGAGCTAGCTAAAAAAGGAACACAAACCTTCTGATGAAAAATTCCAATTCCACAAAACAACACTCTTATCTAGGCCATAATCTATTGGCTGAAGGAAGGGCATTATCTAAGGGAAGATTACCAATTACCCAATTACCCAAGAACAACTGAAAGACAAGAGAATTTCTATGATTAACTGGCTATGGCAGACAATGGATAACAAATTTTAATTAATTTGCAAGGCCTCTGAATGACTGAATGAAATCAAATGCCTCAGAACCAGGACCATGGAACACAGAAGCCAAAAGGCCCCAATGATCTCAAAGTACTCAACAACTACCTCAAATCTCTCAGATAGCATAAATCTTTCTCTTTCGTATACATGAAAGGTCATGCTCTAAGTCAGTGGTTCTCAACTAGGGGATGATTCTGCCCCCAGGAGACATTTGGCAATATCTAGAGGACATTGAGAGCTGTTACTGGCACCTAATGGGTAGAGACCAGGGCACAAGGCAGCCCCCATAACAAAGAATTGTCCAGCCCAAAATGTCAACAGTGCTGAGGTTAACAAAGGGATGTTAACTCAAGACCCAGCACACATCAAAGACCTACTGCCTATCACAGCCAGTCTCTTGAATCAATAGCTAACTAAGGCTTATCTCCTCGTCTTAGAACAACTGTAGTCTCCACTAAAATCAATATGGTATTCAGGTCTTGTACTAGGATCACTTTTAAATTCGATGGTACCACTAACAGTACAATCCCTACTGCTAACTGAAAATACCCAACATTTTTCTTCTAGTCAATTAACTAATTATAAAGTATTGTTACAGTATATCAATGTAACATTATCAATCCAACAGCTGTGTGACACTTACGTGATAATATAAAACCAAAAAAAAAACCAACCCCATTATTATATTTCTGGAGTTCAACAAATGCCTATGCCTAAAACACAGCCTTAATGTTTATTGGGGAGCAAGCGGCTCGTATTGTAAAAGTGAAAGGGGCAATACTAGGCTGGTTCTGAAATACCTATTCCAGACTATTTTTAAATCCAATCCCTTACCAGAAGTAAATTGACTGAGGTGGCTACATTTATGGCCCTTATTCAGGGAAGTTCATATTTCTAGCACAAAGGTTAAATATATCCACTGATCACTGATAAACTTTTACAGTAAATCACTACTTGAAATGTTATAAAAGATTTCTTAATATCCTCAGGAACCTTTTTTCATGAAGGGACAATATGGATAATGAGGATTTGGGAGAGGTTCTGGTAAGATGGCCCAATATAGAGACAAATTACACAGACCCTCTTCAACAAAGAAAAGGGGAACCAGTTAACACAGATACAGAACATAATCCTGGAGCCCTGAACTTTGACAGGAAGAATACAGAAGTGGACTAAACTCCAACTAGTAGAACCTGTATGAAAACACCAAAAAAAGGAGATAATATGGAACTGTGGACTGTTAGCAATCCTGACAGCATGGACAGCTTGGATATTGCCAAATGGTGTTGTTGTTGTTGCTGTTATGTGCCTTTAAGTCGGACCTGACTCATAGCAAACCCTCCTTGGGTTTCCGAGGCAGTATCACTACGGAAGTAGATTGCCCCATCTTCCTTCTGAGGAGTGGCTTGTGGGTTTGAATCGCCAGCCTTCTGGTTAGCAGTCAAGCGCCTTAGGCACTATGCTACCAGAGCTCCTGCCAAGTGGTGTTAGGGCCTAAGAATTAACCTAAAAATCAGCCCTGCTAGCCAGGAGCTGCACAGAGAAATGCACTGGTGGCTGGTGAATAAAAAGGAAAGCAGCAAAGAGGGAGACAGGCTGAGCTGTGGACTTTTGGCTGTCCAGAGGGCACAGCCATTTTGAATGTTTACAAGCAGTTCAACCATTTTAGATATGCAAAGTGACAGCATTCTC